CAAACTTCCCAAGAACATTTGTAGACATCAAATTATTTCATACACATCCTCGTAAAATTCAATTTAGTTCTATATTGAAATGCTTATTCTTACGCTCAACTTTCAGGCTTTAATCAAAAAAAGTTAATCTTTATTATTCCAGTTGCAAATCTCAGTTATATTCAACCAAAATTTACAAAAAAACAAAAAAAACATAAATTTGGGTAAAAACAGTGAATTACTCAGAATTAAACAGAGATAGGAACAATTACCAGGCTATAAAAACGACACTGGCAGTTTAGGTGGAACGTAGGAGAAGGAGAACTTTCAGATTGGCCTGGTCAAATTGCAACTAGTGACGTCTTGGAATATGGTTTGGGAAAAATTCATATAAGTGGATTAAAATATAATTAAAATTTTAAAGATTAAGATTAATTTTAATCACACATGTTTCAAGGATCACTATTTTTCAATCACACATTTAATTAATTTTTATCAAAATTTACTAAAAATATGATTTTAATCTCAACGAAATAAGTATACACCAGTTTAATTCACAGAGATTGTGTTTAAACTATAAGTGAGGTGTTACTTCAATATTTTAATTTTAAATAATAATGTCATTAAAATGAATTAATCTACACAACCCACTCCACTTGTGCACACTAACCTGTCGATATTCACCCTTCGCCGACATCCATATAATTTCATCAAAGGGAAGATAAAATCTACAAAAATTGTAAATGACTTCTTCAGTAGCGAATTGATCGTCGACGACTGATCATCTTCTTCATAGGCGACTAAGCAGTATTTATGTAATTTAAATCTATTTTTTAAAATTAGAAATTGAAAAACAGCCCATTGTATAATTTATAGAGTATTCATCGGAGCAAATAATTTCAATTCTTACTATCGGAATCTAGTTAATTGAATTTGTGACATATAACTTATCACTTGGACATATTGTTACATCCTATGACCCGAAGGACATTGATCTATGAGAAATTTTAATAGATTTGTGACCAATTAAATTAATTAGTGACTTTTGGACATTGATATGTGACATATCACAGTGACATGTGCATATGACTGTAAATTGATCGTATCTGTCTATATCCAATCTGATAATCCAATAGATATTTAATTTTTAAATTTATATCTGATTTGTTATGTTATCGGATATCTGATCCAATATTCCGATCTGAAATCAAAGAAATTAGAAAAATAAAAATCAATGTCGAAATTAATTTTTTTTACTTTTTTTTTTTCAATTGTTTCAATTCTTAAACACGTTTAATAATTATAAAATTTTCAATTTTTTT